CTCACACTTGTGTTATTCCTCTTCCCCCTCATTTGATAAAGTGCATGATATCCCCACTTACTTTTCACCATTCACCTTCTAATCCTGGTTGTCTTCTGTCCCTCCCTCTCTACCAGGTGCAGCATTTCCCAGAGCTGAGGCCATTCTCTCTACCAGAGGTGGTGTTTCACAAGACTCCAGACATGCTCCGTAGACAACCAGCAACTGAGTGACGACTGAGAACTCTCCAGTAACTAGCCTCTACTCAATCTTTCATGAATCAGATACTAAGATGTTCAAAAATTTCCCTTTGGAAAGCGTGGGCATCTTGCAATGCTGTGTAACTCTCAATCTTTCAGAAAAACCTTTGACCTAAAGCAGGCATGCAAAGGTGCAATTTCTTTTGCCGCTTATATGCCTAAAATGCACTTTGCTTTAACATGTAAATAGCTGCATCAGTGCATTTGTTGCAACAGTGCTACTGAAGTCCGATAAAAGCTAAGATGCATGATGATGCTATTGCTATCCCTGCAGCCACCAGACGAGCATCACAGCAGAAGACATCATCAGCACCCTGCAGGCTCTCAACATGGTCAAGTACTGGAAGGGACAGCACATCATCTGTGTCACTGGCAAAATCATTGGTAATATTCTTATTTGTAGTGTACTCTCTGAATGTGTTAGCTTAAGTAATAAACATGAGTGCAGACACTAATGTGTTTTAATAAATCCCCTTGGATGCCACGGGTATCTCCTTAAATCTAAGGGTTAGCTAATGTAAAGTGTACATGCTTCAATGCATAACAATTATTTAGAGGCAGCCCATTTGCTGGGTCTAAAGATTAAAGTAATGGTAGATTGTTTCCAGTAGGGATTGTTTTTGTCTGTCTCTCGATGTCCAGAGGAGCACATGAGGAGTGCAGAGTACAGGAAGCCTCAGCTGACAGTGGACGGGGAGTACTTGAGGTGGAACCCTCACACCAAGAGACACAGAACAAACACTCACAAGAAACACTGACTCTCATAATCTTCATCTCTCACCTTCTGTCATTATCATACATGTTACCAGCAGTCAACTAAAAGTGGTTCATGAAGGGGGTCACAATACTGGCTTAGTCTCTGGTGTCAGAACACAAGCAGTGAGAGCCAACTCCCAGAATCAAATTTTTTCACATGCAGGGGAACCGCACACTTGCACATGTAGCTCATAGTTATTGAACATAGTATACTGGCTGTCTTACAACACAGATTACATGACCTATAATTATAGTGGATGAGAAACAGATGGAAATTAGTCTTACAGCTATGATACAAAATAAAATATAGGTATAAAAGCTTCAGTTCAGCACTTCCAGTAAAGGTGAATATCATTTTGGTAGGAACTTCAAAGGTTCTGTGGATGTGGGCGTTGTGCCGTTTTCTAGTGTTGTCGTCACATGATGGATTGAGTTTCATAAGAGTGCAAGTACGGCAAAGTAAAGACTGCACATCTGTCAGGACTACCTGGGGGAAAGCAAAGGAACCCTCGCTGCATACCACAGGAGCAGACAATAGTTGTTAGCTATACCTTCACAAAAATAATGGTACAAATTTTGTAAGTGACTCTATAACAGCAGGAGGTACATATGAGCAATCTCCCTCTCCTTCCTCAAACTATCAGGAGAGCAGCAAAGTATATGTGGAGAACTAAATTCCACCACTTTATAATTCACCTTCACTGATAATTATGTCTTAGCGGAAGAACCCCAGCAGTTTCCAGCAGTAGAAATCGCCAGCTGGTAATAGAGGACGTGTCTGGCAGGGTTTTGCAAATGTTGCAAGACAGCAAACTATAAAACTGACCAAATTAACCTAAAAACTTGGGGTTTTTATGTACTAACCGTCTTCAACCTGCCTCGAAAAGACAATGAGTGATGATTGATCCAAGTACTCAGCTGAATGCATCAGGTGACTTACCATTCTGCCACAGACAACTTTGCTGTCGCAACAGTTATTCCAACTGAAGATACTACACTTGAATGGATGATTATCACTGATGAATGCCGCACTTCACCAGATCCAACTGTATGTTAGGAAACTTCCTACTAAGCGGGTGATGCTCTTGTGGTTCCCTAAAATAGTTAGCTCTGTGATGTACATATCTGCATAAAACTATACGCTAAGGTTGATGTTAGAATGGTGGCTCACTACTAGTCTGTAAGAACTAAGCGATGTGATAACCATGTTCCCGTGTGGATGTTGCAATAGGCAACACCCTCTGAGGCCTTTAACAAGGACGGTGGAGGGGTTCAGTACAGCTGTTAGTCGATTGGGGGTTCGAGGGGCAGAGCAGCAGTTCATTCTAGTCATTGGTGTAAGAGTTTTTGGAAGGATTGATTCCATTTAAGCAGCGTTCTTATTCATGTTGATTTTAGCCACAGCAGTAATCATGAGTAAAGTTTCAGATTCAATGGACATAAGGTGTGATTGTTTTGGGATCAATTTTGCTGTTTGACGGGTATAGTTTCAGCAGGCAGATGATATGTCAGTATTAAAGATTGTTTTGTTCTGAGCAAGTGGAAGTGACGCGTTGCTCATCTTTTAATAGCAGGAGGGAGGCTAATCATTTGCTGGGAAAAACTCGTTAAAGACAGGTCATATGTCTATCTCTTTATGAGTAAGTCTTAAGTTTTGTGTGGGTTTTCATTAGTCGGATTGGAGGTTCGGAGGCTCTAAGTTCAGGAGTTCTGGGTTTTAGCAGTATTTCATTCTCATGTCCATTTTGAGATCAGAGTTCAAAGGGCAGTAATAAGCCTAATCATTGTTTAGAATGGCTTTGACAACTATTTTCAGCAGTAGTAGCACGAGATTGAGTTTCTTTGTTTAGAGGCAAGTGAAAGTGATCCTTGCTCATTGTTCATCTTGTTCATCACAAGTTTTAGGAGACTTATCATTTTGGGAATGACAAGCATGATAAAATAAAGTGTCAACTCGGATAATTGAATTACATCCTTTTTTCATGACAGGATTGATCAGTTTGCGTTGTTTCTCTCTACAGTTGAGTTCAATGAACAGTCAATTGAGGGTTCATGGGAGAAAGCAGTCAAGTCTTTATACAGTTGGCATATGAGTTGTAAATCTAAGCTCATAATTATGTTGGGAACAGAATTCAATGGATAGCAATCGAAGGGCATTGTCACTTAATTCTGCTTCAACGACTTAGTATTTGAATGCTGTTTGACAACTATTTTTTGCAAGCAGATGATAGTCGGTATACAAGATGGAATTTCTTTGTTTTCGGGACAAGTAGAATAATTTCATGTTAGGGAGGCATAGGGTAAATGATGACTCTTTGTCAACATGGGTAATCTCAATTGTCTATCTTTTTCATGACTGTTATTCAGGATTGATCAGTTTTGTGTGGTTTTTCTTTTTCGAGTTCATTACATTATTTCAAAGTCAATTGAGGGTTTAGGGTAAGAGCAGGTATAGTCGATTGTAGTCGATTGGTGCAGATAGTTCTGAGATAAAGCAGTATTGATGTTCATTTTTAGATCAGTGTTCAATAGAGGGCAATAACCTATTCTCAGTAAGACACTATATATAAACTAGATTGAGTTCTTCATTTAGAGAAAGTGATCGTTGCTCATTGTCCATTTGTTCATCAGAAGGAAGGAGGCTTATCATTTAGGGGAAAAGAAACACGATGACTCATTGTCAACTCGGATAATTGATTGTCCATCCTTTTCATGACAGGATTGATCAGTTTTGTGTGCTCTACAGTTAACAGTTCAATATCGTCAATTATGGGTTCAGGGGACAGAGCAGCTAGTTCTCTGTACAGTTGGTGTAGCAGTTGTGGATCAAAGAACAGACTTCAATATATAGCACATATAGTCACTTGTATAAAATTCTGCTTCAACGACTTGGTATTTTGACAACTATTCTCTGCAAGCAGAAGATATGATCGGTATACAAGATGGAATTTCTTTGTTTCGGGGCAAGTAGAAGTGATCATAGTCATTTGTTCATGTGAGGGAGACTCATAATTTCTTGGAACATGAAACCGATGACTCATTGTCAGCACTGGTTCTCTATTGTCTTTCTTTTTCATGACTAAGTCTTAAGGATTGATCAGTTTTGGTTTTTTTCTTACATTATTTCAAAGTCAATTGGGGGTTTAGGGGAAGAGCAGGCAGTCATTTGAAGTCCATTGGTGTAGGAGCTCTGAGATAAAGCAATTCTATGCAGTATTCATTATGAGATCAGAGTTCAGTGTGGGCATTACCACAGCATCATAATAACTATTTTCATCATCGATGATTTTGGCCATTGAGTGTGTGAATAATTGATTATCATTGTTTTGGTTAACCAGTTTCCACAGCAGATAAAAGTTAGTACACAAGATGGAGAGATTCTTTTGTTTCAAGGCAAGTGGAATTGATCATTGCTCATTATCCATTTGAGGGAGGCTTGAAGAGAAGATGACTAATTGTCAACACGGATATAATCTCTTTTTCATGATAGGTTTGATCAGTTCTGTGTGATTTCTCTTTTCAGTTAGAGTTCAGCACAGTTTAAAGCCAATTGAGGGATGCAGGGACAGAGTAGATGGTTCTTTGTAGTCAGTTGTTGTAGGAGTTGTGGGATGAAGCACGTTGATATTGGGAAATGAGTTCAATGTTGCCATTTGCACAGCACATAGTCACTTGTATGTGCCATTTCGATGACTTGGTATTGATGAATAATGCTGTTTGGCAACTACTTCATAGTTTCAAACAAGCAGTTGATAGTCGGTACACAGATAGATTTGAGGCAAGTGTTGATCGTCTTTCACTTATTCATAGCCGGGGGGCTTTATTATTTCTTGAAGAGAAAAGGAACATATTTGAAATGGGTGTTTGTAGCTACAGTAACTATTTGTCATTAAGGTTGTAGAGCGATAATCATCCAATTTGAAAGCAGATGACAGCCAGTGTATGTCAAGGCAATTGCTTTTCATCCTTCAGTTTGTTCTCAAATTCATAGGAGAGCAATGGAGGCAATTCTAACCAGATGAAAAAGAAGAGCCTTTTTGTACAGTTCATGACTAAGTCTTTATGAACAGTTTTGTGATATTACAAGTCAGGTAGCACTCACAGATTATTATTGAGCAATGTTCGATAGGTGGTTTGAGGGTGTTTGAAGTCAAGTTCTTGCATCATCATTCTTTACCAAAATCACATTGCATCAACAATGGATAAAACCTTGGGACTCTGTCTGTATTCAAGCTTTATGAAAATTAATCAGCAGCATAATTATCAAAGTCGGTTCTTTTTTATGTCTTCGACTGTTTTACAAGTAAGCAAAGGTTCACAAATCCAGTGTTTGTTTTCAGGGGCAGCTGCGATTATAGGAGAGGGGATAGACTTTACACACACCCATGTTGGTCACTGAAAGGCGATGTCTTGTGAGGAATGTCAGGAAAACTTTAGATTCGAGAGGTATATCGATTCTTTTTCAGAACAATGGTTTCACTGTTCACCAGAACGATGTGATATTGGGGAGGTTTCAGTGAAAATCTGCGTTGAATGATATTTACACCCATAGTGAGTTTTGCTCTATAGAGATGATGTTAGTCGTACGAGCTGATTACAGACATATTTTACAATGAGACATTGCCAGCAATTATTACTGTTGCTGGTGATTTTATGTGTTTTACTGAAGCACATGCTCACCATCAGCTGTTTTGCTTCAATGAAGAAGTGATTTCTGGTGATTTTACTTCTTTGGAGGGGAATAATATCATTTCGTTTTCACTTTGTGGGGTCACTAATAGAGCAGAAAATGTTTCAGCACAGTGACAGTGATGCATTGTGACAAGTCAAGTTTGAAATGGGTGCTCTTAGTTAGCTCTTAATTGCTTCCTGGAGCACTATTATTAGCCAGTATTCCACAATCATAGAGTATAGATGGGGCGAGCAAGATTTTAATTTTCATTTCACTTCATTACATAGCATACACACTCTTCTCTCGAGCAATAAGATATTTCAGAAGTGTGTCTTAGGATTAGACCATTAGTAGTCATGACTTGAAAAAGTCAGAAGAAATTATTATTGGCAACTAATTTGCTACAGCTGTCAAAGTTGTAGAGACGATCTATTGATGGCGATTGGATTGTTAGTGAAAGGTTGATAATAATGTGATTAGGGAGGGGAGGATTTCCATAGTCTAGCTATATGCAGTCAGTGTTTCATTCAGGTATCATCTTTGAAAAGGTTAACGTAGATGATACACATTGGTACATTGACACAGCTCTATACCAATAGTGTGTTAAGACACATCCACACCAAGGTAAAGTTTGAAAAGCGGAAGTAACTTTTGAGGCATCTGAAGGTTGCATTGATGCAGCTTGGTTCAGGAGACATTACACGTTACACTTTTTCAATACTGATGATAAGAATCATAAGCTGTTCAGTAATACAGTGTTGGTGGTAAGATACACACAAGGTAAGTAAACAATGCACAAGTAACTTTGGAGCTAGTTGACGTAGCTTTGTTCAGTAATTATTTTCTTGAAGTGGCTTTGTTCAGCAATAACAGTTTCTTGTGAGATGTTATAATATGGTAGCTACATATAAGGCACACATTTGATAAAACTGTAGCTACTGATGGTGTTATTTCTGAAAAATTTAATTTCATTCACTGCAGGCTCTTGGTCGTAAAAATGTGTGGCATTTGTTCTAGTATGTCGAAAGAGGAAGTAAAAGTAACTTTGGAGGTATGTGAGGTACCTTTGTTCAAGAAGTGATAAAACAATTTGATGGTTGAATGCTTTTAGTACACACTTCCAGTTATTCAGAGCAATTTTCATTAGGTTGTTGCACGTTTTCCAAGAGACTGGAATTGTCTAGGCACATGAAGCTCTAATACTGGGAATTGTGTGGGAAACGACTTTATTTTTCTTCAGTTGAGATTTGGCTAACGTGCTATATAGGCACAAACACATGGAACTCAAAAAAGCTGGATACAAAACACGAAATTACATATTTAATGATTAATATGAGGACAGTTGTTACCTTGAAGCTAACTATAAACACAAACGACAGACAACAGACGACAGCCAGTTATGTACACTGTTTGAAGAATAATTAGTGTCGCCCCTGAGGGGACGACTTACCCCGGAGAGATGCCTCAATATCAAAGGCAAGGGCTTTCATATCCATCATTTTCAATACACTGAGAAAGGTGGCCCATGTTATTGGCAATTGCCCTTTACCTTGCAACCACTTTTTCGAAATTTCGAGGTTGATTGCATGCGATTCTCTCATACACTCCTTCTGCAGGGCATCTGTTGCAGATCCATCATCATCATTTAGCAGGAATGGTCCAAAAACATTGTAGTGAACACCAATTTTTGTAAGAATGTTAATTTTTCTACCATTTACCATTGGAAAGTCCATTAGTTGTGGTAGAGTGGGAGTATCTTTAAAGGGCTGAAAACTTACATCAGCACCTTGTGGACTGCCTTGAATTAACTGGCCTTTAAGTAGTCTGCAGTTATAAAATGACACGTCAACAGATGCTATTGGAAATGAGCTGACTTTCACTTACTTCCTTGATAGCTCATCAAAGCCGGCATTATCTAACAGTTGAGCAAGTTCATAACGAGTACCACCTTCACCCTCAACAAAATCGGAGATGACAGCATATGCTGGCTCCCTGCTCCTACTCGGGGCACTTGACACTTTTTTGAGTGTATATTGCATCTCCATTTCTTCAACAACATTGGATAAACCATTTTCTATCTCCTTGGCCACAAGCTTCATTTCAGTTTCAGTCAGAGAACCGTCCTCAACAGGAGACTGCATAGAGCGACACAATAATTAAATAAATGATAGTAGAGATTTAATGGGCCACACTCACATGCACTGGAAGTTCACTTGGAAATGGTAGCCAGAACCTTTGCTGAGGAGACAGTTCATATCTTTATGTCGAGAGCTACAAACAGATTGGACTCGCAAGAAACACCAGGCTTCAATGCTACGAAGTGCCTGGGAGCACTTTGTGAACATGTGCATGGAAATGCCAAGTTGAATGTAACACACGGCATCCAGTCACGTACAATCTTGCACATGCTAACCAGCTCCCTCTGTAGCAAAATGCACGACTCAGCAAATCTAGTATTGTGTCTATTTCGCTCTGCCACTCGAAAAAACCTCACAGATATGCTTTCCAGTGATTCGGACACAATTATTCGGTCAATATCTCTGCACATAAACAAAATACTATTTCGATACACCTCTCTATCTAAAAGTGGTGTGTAACCTTCCTGGTTAGACATGTGTGCAACTAATCGGACAAAAAAACCAGGCGGGACATAACCTGTACTAAAACACATATATAGAGTAGCTGCTTCGAGTATAGGCTTGACTTGTGGTGGCTCTGAATTTTCTGTTGATTCTGATTTAGGCTTTACTTTCAACATGCAAGGCATGAAATACTTTTTGCCTCTGCTAGACATCATGTCATCTGGACATTCATTTATTTCGGTAGCAAGATCAAATGAAGAAGACATCAACAAGAGCTTGTGGGCCCCCCTCTAGCCCACAATCTTTCCATATTTCCTGATATAACCCTTCAACAACAACACCTCTTTCTTCAAACCACTTCCAAAACTGTTTCAGACGCTCAGGTCGGTGACCAAACCAATCTGGCATTAGCAGAAGTCGCAACTGGTTAATAAGCCATTGTGGCTCAACTATATTGTAGTGGTAAGAGATGGTACATTCGCATAGTGTAAAAGTGCACCTAACTGGTGGTAAAATTGAAGCACACTGGTACAACCTTGTAGGAATTTTGCATTGCTCAGTCAATGATAAACAACTTCGTTGTATAAAAGAATAGGCTTATCTGGCAACCTTCTGCAAACCTGCCTGAAAGTACCCAAGCCAGTGGAGTGTCTACCACAGCGATTTTGCAACTCATTGATATTTTCACGAATTTTTTGGTACCGACCCATGATCTTCTTCCTTACCCTTCCCATCCTTAGTGGTTGCCAGACAGGGAGCTTGTCAAACTATAATTTTTACAAATGAACATAATCACAGCCGACTTGAAGTGAGAACTTTCACAAACAACCCTCTTCTTCCCTCTGTGGGTTTGATTGGTCTTTCCGCGAACAGGCACAGCATTCTCTGGAAACTTTGGAATTTTACTAGTCTTGACTGGACTGAAGTGGCAAGTGCTTCTTTCCTTTTCAATAAGGGAGATGTATTAGTTGCAACCATTGTATCATAGCTGCAAGTGTGTGATATTGCATCCCTTCCTGTAATATGTTTACCATTTGGGCCATTTTTCTATGGTATCAAAAGACCGCGAAGCAAGAGGAAGGCGGGGGATTTTTCCAGGGCCACCTGTGATTCGAAGAGTCGAAGGAAAGAGGGGTGGAGTTCGTGAAAGGATAACTGGGGGAAATGCATATGGGTAAAAGGGAAGGTTATGCATGCCGATCCTTAAGATCAAGGAAGCATCAAAAAGAAGAAGAAACATTGTGCGAGGGGTAAGAAATGCAGCAAGAATATCACAAGAACCACAGGCTGCCCCCTCCACAGTCCCATATGTTGCATTACAACATCTGGATTATGTTTTCCCTTGCGTCGTGCACGATGTGCTTTGCTTTTTGATAATTTTTCATTCACTATAGGCAGTGCTGGCTATCTCTGATACATTCTCCTTATGCTCACGACTACCTTCTTTTCCTCCACTTTGATGCATTATATAAGCAACTGCATCAGCATCCAAACCAAAACTAACAACGGCAGGAGCCAAAGGCCATGTAAAGGACCCTGCTTCTTCCTCTTCGCTCATCTTATTCAGAGCAAGACTATGAGAATGAGCAGCTAAACGTGTATCCCTCGTCCATAACTAGTAATGCTCTTTCCAAGCCGCCCCAACTATCTGCTGCCTTGATCCACTGAAATGAACAGTGCATGTGTCAGCTACAGCTGTGGTTACGCCATTCTTATGGAACATTCATAAGGCCATCGAGTAAGCTGCTCTTCCCCGAACCCCCTGCCCCCAGGAACATTAACCGCACATAAGCACCAGGAACAGCGCCTTTACTAAGAGCCTCAACATAGTCATCTAGCAATACAAAGAACCAGCATTTTTCTATCGATATTAACAGAGTAAAGCCTGGTTCACAATTCACAATACGACGCTAGACTTCCATTTCGTTTGTCAACTGTTCTCAGCTTACAAAACCACAATAAAAAGCAAACGATATGAAAGTGTTTAGCATCGTATCGTGAATTAAATCCAAAAACAGAAACTGGCAAAATGCAGACAAAGCTAGTTCATTTGCAAAACAATACGAGGAATATTTCTACAAATGAATTGCAAATTGTGGTTCAATAATAAGGAATAAAAGTAAGCATCACATTAATTATAGGGATGGAAATTTGAAATGGAGTCAGATAATATCATTGGGGAAAAGGCGGCGCTTTGATTATTTCACATACAGTAGAATACACTTACAAACGATGTACAGAAGTTACTTCATTTTTACCTTGCACTCTCTGCAAATTAAAAATACCAAACTAAATCTGCAAAATAGTAACTAATTTCTTGTGCATTAGTATCATCCTCATGCCTAATCCCATGTAATGTTATAA